ATGCTTACATTTAGTATTTGATTATGTCTCAAATAAAATTATTTTTAATAGAAGGATATCTGTACACAATAAAAAAAAACTATAGTATAACTAAGAGTTAACTTTTGAATAGTAGCATGTGATTTGATTCTCATCAACATAGCACAGCATTATATTCCAATGACAGAATCAGTTGTTACCGTGATTATCATAGGAGAGCCGATAACGTAGCCTAGCTTTAGCCTCTCTTTTTCTCTTTGATGTATATTCATATCTCTTAATTTTCATCCTCTCTGTTTAATTTGATGATTCATTTCTCCAAAAATAACTAAGTTTACTTTCGCTTAGTAATTCAAAACATTATAGTGTAAATCTACGCACGCATTGGGGTTTGGGGTTCATTATACATATATTCTAGGCCCCGTCCTTGCTTAAAAAAATATTAGTGTTATTGCTTATAAATTATTTTAAAAGTTTTCAAGTATTTACTTGAGTGTGTTGGACTTTAATGGACTAAAATAAACAATGAAATTTGTGATGAAAATTAAAAACAAAAATGCAAAATATTTGAGATGAATTTACAAATTTTTTGCCATAGATTGATCTATCTCAAAAATTTTGAAACGAATTTTGCAACAAAATTGCAGTGAAAAATTTTCGTTGCAAATTTTCTATTTTTCTACAATCGTCCCATGTCCAAGCTATCCTTTTTTGAATTGAGATCAATATATAGTAAATAGTCTACTTAATATATTAATTTTACATTTTGAGAAGGAACTCACGTGTATAGGCATGTTCCTCGTTTTAATTTCTCTGTTTTCTAATATAGCATCGAAATAGATAATAGAATTAAAGAATAATGCGTATGAAAAAATGATTAAAAAAAAAAGATCAACTGAATAATATAGCTAGTATTGTGGGGAACAAGATGAAAATATTTTTCTGTTTTTGTTGTGTTTCTTTATTGTTTGATTTTTCTTTCTTTTAACTCTTAGAAATTCTAAAAAGAAAATTTCAATATCAGAGTGTAATGAGCTTGAAGTTGAACTGATTAAGGTCTATAGCTATTGATCGTGTGCCCAGATCAGTGAGGCTATCAGCAGTAATTAATGGCTTTATAAATTAATTAGAATATCAGGAGAATAAAGCTATTGATTTGGAAGGAACTTTATATCATCTTTAGAATACATGACATACTGTACAGGACCAGATTGTAAATTTATCATTAATTTAAACAGTTCACTTCAATTAATTCCAAGATAAGTTCAAACAATTAATCCTACCGATACTCTTTTCTTTATTCCATGACCTAGTGAAATGTAGAATATTACCATACCCACCCACCCAAACTAAGCCGGTGCTGTATAGGGCCATTATTATCAATGATAATTTTATGAGTATCTTGTAAATATTTTTGATTATTTTTATGTAAAGCGATTTCATATTTTAAGGGTTGAACTTTTTGATTAATTTCAGAATAAGCTGATTAAACTCCCCCAATCAATTAAATCAAATGCCTTTAGGTAATCCTACTGATGCTCTTAGATTGCTGATGACTCTCTCATTCTTTCAGAGTGCACATTTCCACAAAACCTCAAATCCACATAACATGTCATTTGCTCTACACTGAAATGCTTTAGATGGTGAAATGAAAAGAATAATGGAGAGAAGAAATATCTAGCTAAATCAAACCTCGTTTCTCTTGATAACCATATTCTCCTCAATAGAATGATGGGACACATGATGAACACGAAGGACGTCCGTATATATTAATGATTTGCATGTACGTACGTACTGATGTAAGGAAGAGGTAATCTGCATCCTGAGGGCTAGAGACAAATTGAGCAAAATATTGTTCTAAACCTCAGGATGCAGATTATCTGATCCCGACCCAATACAGAGTCTTCCAAGAGAAACAATATGAAAGAACGTAACAATCTCCAATATTAGATTTCCAAATCATTGATGAGTTTCATGATCGATGAGACGTTGGGTATTTATAAGGTTCCTTGATACTGATATCAGAAAATACTGCAATAATAATAGGACAAAACGTAAGCACGCACGGCTAGCGAGTTGTACATGTAAACCCTAAATATTCGACGTGGCGGCTTATGAGTTAGTTGGAGCATAAAATCTGGCGAGAGAATGTAGCTGGCAAACGAATCGGGACTATATATGGACCGGTCTTCGTTATCTCTCTCTTTTTACAGTTATTCACTCAAGAATAGGTACCACTCATGACATCATCTATAGCAGCTTCATGGAAACACTTCTTATGGCTAATATCTTGTATTCATTGGAAGAACACCGCAAGAGTCGCCCACAAATATATACATTAATTAGGAGCTAAATATATATATATATATATATATGTATGTATATATATTGCAATTAACTAGTCAGTTATTATACTGTAGTACTTTTATTTAGATGAACTTGCAGTTGCAGGACCAAGGGAATGGTATTCTTGAATTGGAATTGAAAGGGTATAGAATCCCAATGTGTTTTGGAAAAGACAGTTATAAAAAAGACGTTACGCTACTATATACATCAGGAAGAGATTAACACTTAAACACTACTTCTTTAGTACTTATAACAAAGACATTATTAACACTTTAAGAATGATGTCATGATTATCAACTTCCTAGACTACTTGATCACAATTCTGGAAGTCTATTCAACTCAATAGATACAGTCCAACAAATTAGTATCTTTGGCCAAAAACAAAAAAAGGCTAAAAAATTAGTATGAATTACTTTAGCAAAAAAAAATCCGTTATAGATGGATGTTCATTAAGTTGAAGCATCCATGGATTGGATATATTAAAACTTTACCATAAATTAATATATCAAAACATTTTATGCTAAAAACAAAAGGGTTAAAGTGCATTTTTATTCCTATGTATTCCTTCAAGGAGCACTAGGCACCTTGTAATTACTTGTAAATATTAGTTTTAATTGTTTGCTCTATTATGATCATTGCTAAAAAAAAAAAAGATAGTCATTACTTAAATTAAAGTAGTCACGAATATTTATAATATTTAGACTTTAGTGAATTAAAAAATTGCACAAGAAAAGTTGCAATTGGTTATTTCATTCTAGTCATTGTTAAAAAAATGTAGTCCTTGCTTAAATTAAGGTAGTTATTAATATTTTTCTTTATTTTAAAATGGGAGTATTTTAGTTATTTTACAAAAAATGATTAATCTTTGAAAGGTCCATAAGGATTTGAGAAGAATCATAATATTTTATAAGATCTCATTGTGATTTTCATATTTTAAGAGGTTCAAGTGCATTTTCTTCTATATTTTCCTTCAAAGGGTGCTAGACACTTTATACTAGTAAATAGGGCATTTTTTTCTTTAAAACATTCTCCATAGGAGCAAAAATCCTCCTCCTTTAACGGATAACTACGGAGGGACATTTTTGCTCCTCTGAAGAATGGTTTAAGAAAAAAATGCCTCACTTATTAATATACTTTAATCCAAAGAAATATTTAGATAAAAGTTGGATTGGATGGATTCAATTTGTAAATAGGCTGTAGCCCAATTGTTGAGGCCCATGAGATTGGTTAGCCCAGCAGTCGGCAGACAAGGACCTAAAGCTAATGCTTTATTAAATTCGGAGGGCAAATTAAAAAAAATAAACAAATTAAAAATTTAAAAAAGGGGGGGGGGGGGGAGAAGAAACTCTGTTGAGTTTGGGTTAGAGTTTCGTAGACGTAAGTTTAGCTTAAATGTAAAACAGACAAACGTTAGTTTAGCTTAAATGTAAAACAGACAAGTAAAATCATGGTTACTTTTGCTCAAACGTGGGTAAAGCCATGATTAATTTATAACGTTTGGATCTCGAAAACCGTAAGCCATATATAGCCTTAGAACGTATTTAGTTTTATTCTAAAGATCATCAAAATTACAGTTTTGGTAAAAGCACATGGTTTTACGTGACGTGAAACCAAATGTACATCAAGATTGTGATTGATTTCACGAGCTTCACTTGCATAACAGAGATGTGATAATTTAATCATGAAAATTAAAAAAAAATACAAATGTAACTCATCTATGGACAATTTGTAGGGAGGTCAAGTGAGTTGGCTTGATATTATGAGGAAAATCTTACATCACATAGAGTTTAATTAGAGAAAATGTATATATGGGGAAAAAAAAGACTCATGAACTAAATACTTTAAGATTTTGATTTAAGATATATTCCCTTGAGTTCGGGTTATAGTGCGCCTTTTGGAATGATTTTTAAATTCTTAATATAAGGCATTTGATTGATAGGGTATTGATTATGTTTTTTAATATTATCAACTCATTAATTAGAAGAAAAAAATATAACACAAACTTAAAAAAATTATTTAAATAAAAATAAAATTAAAAGTTTATTATATTTTTAAACAAAATTAATAACTTAATCATCTTTTTTTGATTTCGTGTCTATTTGTATGAATCCTCTTGAGAGAGAAAATCTTAGAACTGAATTGTTCAAGCATGCTCAGAGTGTGAGCATGGGAAACATCGATGTTGTCAATGGAACTGTTGGGCTAGTATTCTCACCCCTTAAGAGATACTCCCGAGACCCAACACTATTATTAATTTAGGCGAGTCAGCATTTTTGAAGAGTGACGCCATTAATTTCTCTTTTTAAAAGCAGAAAATTTTAAATTAAAGGAAAATGCAAATATTCAATACCCGTTAAGAAAGTTCTTTGGCTAATACAATCCTCTACGACTCAGTCCATAAATAATAAATAATTGGATTAAATAAATAATTAAATATTTATTGATTAATTTAGACTCTTCACTAATCACTACTGATTTCAAAAATTTTCCTTGAACAATTGTTTGGCCCTTCTACGTCAATGTGAAAACCATTACAGGGCTACCGCTAAGAAAATTCTTTGCACGACCATTTTATATTACAAGATTCGAGCATCAGTACCGTGAAACGAAATCATTTCCCAGGTTTTGTAGTTGAACACGCTTCATTCTTGCGAGGGAAGATTAGGACCAGGCAGTTACCTATCAAGAGAGATGAAATTTTTTCTTGTATTTGGACTGACTTTACACAATAACTTGACATCCTTCTTAGGACCCCCGAGTCCCAATACTAAACAATAATACTACCACCTCAATCCAGCTCTCTAAAATTAGCACCATAAAAATAGGAAGAATATCTCCGATCGTTATTCTCGTTTTTATGGTTAGTGAATCACACTAATCCAATATTTGATAATACTTAGCCAACAAAGTCACGCACAAGCTGCCCTCCAATAACCTGGTCTCTTCCATAATGCCGATTCTGTGAATCAGAGCCATTCATTACATACTCTTCGTTACTGGGTACTTCTAGGGCGAGCCCGAAACGGAGAGCTTCACTCATGGGAAAAGGTTCCGATAGAGCAAGCCCACCGTTGTTCTGGTGGAGACCCAGCGTGAGCGAGACGCTATTGGCCGCGGCTCCAACACTGACTGGCTGATTATTATTGTTGACATTGCCTATTGCATTACAAGGAAGATGATTCGTCACTGCAGATATATCATGACCAGGTTCATAATTTCTGCTGCGTTTAAAAGGAGCATCATCTTGAAACTTGTCACTCAAGCTGGGCTTGTTCTTGCTGTGATCTTCACAGTTCTGATGATCCTTTTGAGACTGTAGTGTTTCCAGCATGTGTATTTCTTCGACCATTGGTTTCCACAACCTCACTCTTGCATTAATGAACCAGTTTGACACCTGTTATAGTCACACAGAAATTAACTCTCTCTAGTCTTTAATATGAACTGAATCAGATAAAAATATGCATCCTCTATCAAAATTACTAACCTGGCTACGAGACAGACCAGTCTGTCTCGCCAGCATCAGCTTGTCCGTATCAGTAGGATATCTGCATCCCAAGAAGATTAATTCCAAAAACGCATTCCCTACTGTGTCATGATCTATGCTTTTAAGTTTGATGCGTAAATGTACATGTATTATTAAAATATATTAAAAAAGTCACACGTAGATTAACTAAACGAAATGAAGATATATATAAGCTTAAGGTAAGCCCTATCAAATTGGCTTAAACTATTTTGATAGAAAGACAAGCCTAATATATAGCTAAATCAACAAAGTTTAACATGTATATCCTAATCTGAGTCTATATAAGGTACTTACGGATGTAGAAAGTGCTCAAACAACCATGCCCTAAGAACAGTGACGGCACGTTCAGGAAGTCCACGTTGAGGCCGCCAAATTGGTTGTTGCCCTAACAATTCTGGGTTGTGAGAATCCCTAATTTGGCCGTAAGGTCCTGCTCCTCTATTATGGTCAACATTTCCAAACCTTGGAGAGCCATCCTTCTTGTTGCTCATACTGTGAAAATGATGAGCCTTATTATTTGTGAGTTGAAGCTGGTCCATGATCACATTCTTCAAGCATTTGAAATGCTTGGTCATGGCGTTTATAGCCAATGTTGCATAAGGAGCTGCGTTACCCAGGCCTGAAACATACTCAAATGAAGTTACTACTGCTTGTACCTGTTGATAGTACTGCCTGTACCTTCTGTACACCTGATCATACTTGACAAAGTTAGAAAATTTCTATAAGGATAGCACTGAATATGAAACTTCATCGGTGTTGTGTGTGAACAAAAATCGCTTTCATATCAAGAGAAAAGCTTGAAATCAACACAAATATATGCAATAAGATACATATATAACACCCAAAATTTAAGTACCACCTACAATTCAAGACTTGTTTGTGTTCAATACAAGTGATGGACACATCAAACACTATGACTCAACAAAATTTTAAATGAACTGTTTTAATTTAGACCTTCATATATATATATATATATATATTATGGTCGATGCAAGTGTTGCGTGCAGGCCACACCACAAGACAAATTTGATTCAATGAACATCATACCGCTGCAAGTTGTGTCTAGGCGCATGAAGCTAAGAGAAGTTTTTTCAAAAGATCTGTAATTCAAGTTATTAACATCCATAAATACCAAAATAAGCTTGTTAAAAAAGTAAGTCTCAAGACATAAAATATCAAGGTACTGAAAACTGGAGGTTTAAAGGTTAGTGGTCCAATCAAGAGTCAACTTAGAATCATACTCATGGTTAAAATAATATAATTTGATTAAATATATAAAAATATTCATACGAAAGACTGTAATATTTAAATAGTAGTTTTTAATTCTTGAGTAAATGAAAAACTTATCCATATAATCTTATACAATTTTTATAGAAATAATAATTATAAGTTTCTGACAATAATAAAACACAATAGCATTTCAATTATTAATTAAGAAATTTATATTTGATTTAGAGTTTAATATTCAGAAGAAGAAAGGAAAAAACAAAGAAAAATAAAAATAATAAAATCTAATCCAGGTCAACCCATTAACCGATCAGGCTGGGCGAGTTTGGCCGGGGTTGAGACCAAATCATAGGTGACCAGTTTCCTCAATCAACCAGACTGGTTAGGTGACCAGTTTACATGTCAACCTAGCCGAGTCAGTTTGAGTTTACAAACAATGCAAAAGATAAACCGTACATATCCCTTTTATTGATAAACCTAAGAACATACAAAGCTACGGCTTCTAACTTTAAATAAAATCCACAAGCTCTGTATCAAACCTGCATTCCTTATCAATTTCATGCCTCATTAGATTCTCCTCTAATGGCCAATAAACGGTACCAATAGACAATAGCCCAATATATATATATATATATATATTAAATAATATTAATATAATTAAATACTAATTAATTCAAATTGATAAGAATTAATTAATTATTAATACTGATAAATTAATGCAACTATATGATATGACATCCAATTTTGATAGTGTGCCAATGTAATGTAATGAAAATGAAGCCAGTGCCAGATAAAGCGCAAAACAACTTGGAGACGCAAATTTGAGTTTTTCAATCTTGGAATACCAAGATGATATGATATACACACTTTATTAAGTATAAATCTTCACCAAGGATTCCTTCAATTACTTTATGCTCATTACACTCTCCAATATATCAGCGACATTATATTGTGTCACCTGTTTTATATGGAACTCTTTCTTTGGTTGTCAGGCACTTTATAATACCATTTTTCGTGCATATATTCCCTCCCATCAACTTTTTTATAAAGATAATCGAGTTCACCAAGAACATCAACCTCATGATATGCAAGAATCTACATGCTCATATAGTTGTTTATTATTATTATTATTATTATTAATACTACTAATACTACAAGTACAATTAAATTAAATTACATTTAAAAGTGCAATAAATTGCCAAGACATACACACACGATCATCATAATTAGCATCATGCAATCAATCCGACAGCATCCAACTCACCCAGCAATAAATCAACCCACCAAGCACTGACGTTATGTTAATCATAGTTTTCAACCGGAATATTTAAAAGAGGGACAAAAATCATACCAGGATGCTAGCTTATATTCACCATATACAAACGATTTTATAACTAAAAATTGTAAAACCACTGGGCAAAATAAAATTGAGAACAACACGGAACGCCAAGTTTATTGAAGGTGAAATATAAGCGATTTTAAGGATGACGATTTGGTAAAATTTATTTATTAGTTGTTATTAGCATCCAATAAAACCAAAATGTAGCTCAATTTTTTTATATAAAAAATAATATTTTCCTTGCGGACTATGATTAAATGTGGGAGTGAACAGTTGTCTGTAAAGAAAAGGTTGAAAAAGAAATTATGATTATGATTATAATTACAGCACATTTTTTTAAAATCAAATCCCCATATCACATTTCACATTGATGTCTTCTCCAAAATTATTCATTTATATGCCAAAATTTGGTCATTTGAAAACCAGACAAATAAGGAGAAGACAATCAGACCAACGTTGAACATGAAATCGCTTGAAGCTGATATACCAGACTAGCCAGAAAGTAACCCCAACCCAGTTCTTACCAAAAGTCCAAAAGGTAAAATCGAGTTCATGAAAAATAATTAATAAAATAGACAATATTTAGGTAAGGTCGATTAGGTGTATTCCAAAAACACGACATGACAAGTTTCAGGCTCACATGATTAGATTTCTATCAAGAAACTGATAGAAAAAAACCAACCAAGTGTGTCCAAACAGCATACCTCATCAAGCATGGTTAACAGTCTCGACTTTTTCTTCCCACCGTCCACACCATCCCCAGGAGGCGGCGGCGGATCGCCGGAGCCGAGGCTCTCCGACGACGGAGGTTCCATCAACGAAGCGTCAGCCGTCATCTTTACCGCGGCGCATATTTCACGGCCCCCAACGTCACAGAGTTCCTCCAATAACTGCTGAGCCGGCTTCAGAAACCTCGATCCCTTCAACACCGAAGCATAACCCGTAAACGGCCCCAACGGAACGACGGAGCTTCTCAAAACGGTGTCGTTGGCCGGGATATTCACGGAGCCGCCATCATGTCTCTGAAGATTCAACTCGAGGGGGGGATTACTGTTAAGATTAGCTTGTTGAGTGTAGTGATTGTGGGAGGAGGAGAGAGATAGAGACAATGGCTCGGCGCGAAGGGTTTGAGCGAGAGGAAAATTAAGAAAAGGATTGGTGTTGATAATTTGCACAGTTGCGGGGTCTATCTGCAAATTGGAGGATTGAGGATTATTTGTGGCGCAAGTCAGCAGATCGGAGGGAATAAGGGAAGGGTCGTAGAGAGGGAGTAAACCAGCGCAGGCCGCCGTTGGAAGGGAAGAGTGTTGGCTGTGAAAGCCGACCCTGAGCTTGTCTCTTCTGCTTTGCTGAGGAACATGGTAGGGTTCAAAACCCTCCTCCATTGGAACAAAGCTGAGGTTGCAGAAGAAGAAGGTGGGAGCGAGGGAGGAGAAAGAGGAACAAGCGTTGGAAAAGGGTGAGAAGAACAGTGCAGTTAATGATGAAGTGAAAGGATATTATCCCGATCTTTATTCTGAGCTCAGTTCAGAAATTACCAACAGTGACATTGATCCATGATTGACACGCCCTTTATATCATATCATTTGTTTGGACCTTAATATTATTATTCTTATTAGTATTATATTTAGTTTTCTAAATATTGGGCAGAGTTCGGAACAGTGTATGAATATTTTATTGGACATTGTATAGCGTATCGGTACTAGCTGAAAAGAATAGTTGAGTTTGATTTGAATGCACACACAATCACAATCACAAGAAACACACAACGAAAATCATTTTCTCTCACTTCAACAGTCCCATTCTGGAGCTCCTCCTCGTCGTCTTCTTCTGCTCTGTTTCTGGACTTGGATCTTCCTACGGGACCCTCGCCAACATGTAACCCGCCTTCTTTTTTATTTTTTTCTCGTTGCATTACCTAATGATAATGAATACTCTTTTCATTAAAAAAAAATATAAAATATTTTTAATTAAATTTTATTAAATAGTTACTTATTTTTAAATTAATTTTATTTTTTAATATTTATCCTTATTAAACACTCTATAATAAATATAAAATTATTATTACTAGGGGTAATTTTTTAAAAAAAATAATGATTATATCTCAAAATACTAAAAATACCTCATATTTTTAGCAAACAACTTCTCAAAAATGCCTTATATTTTTAAATAGAGGGAGTACTAATTGAGAATTTCAATCAAGGACCATGATAAAAACTTAATTACTAATAAATCTTTAAAAAAAATTTGAAACTTCATTTTAATTCAAAACGATTGAAATGAAAATAATTTTAATGGTGAAAATATCAAAGTACGGTTCACTTATTACATAAAAATATCACTTATTAATTTTATTTTATTTGTTAATTTATTAATATGAGTTATAAATTATATGCGTTTGTCAGACAAGCAAAAACATTAGTTGTTAATGTGCTAGCTTTACTTGTTAATTTATTAATATTAATTTTAAATTATAATATTTATTAATAATTTATAACTGATGTTAGTAAATTAAAAAATAAAGTTATCAATTTAACAACTAATATTACCGTTTGTAATTGAACAACTGATGTCAAGTTTTATATAATTATTAACATACCAATTCATATAATTTACAGCTCATATTAGTAAATTAATAAGTAAAATAAAAAATTAATAATTAATGAATTTGTATAATAAGTAAATGATATTTTAATCTTTTTATTGTTAATTATCAGTAAATTTATTTTTCACCATAAATTAACAAGAATCATTAGTTGTTAGTTTTTTGCTCTCTTAATTTATAACATCATATCTATTAACTTTTAAATTTTTTACAAAATTTATTATTGATTTTTTAAAAATATCATTATCTCTTTCATTCTCAAACAATAGTAGCTTTAATTTAACTAAGTGTAATATAAAAAAGATGCAAAATCTGTTAACATTTAATTATTTTTAAGTAATTTTTTTTAAATTATAATTAAGAATTTTATTAAAACATTGAATTCATATTTTACATTGTATGTGTAAGATTAAGATAAACTCTTAAACATAATCAAATATGTTTAAAATTTTAACAAATTTATAATAATATCCTTGTTGAATATATATACTCTTTTTGGGTCTTATTTATAGGACAGAGAGAGAATAATTTTTTATTTATAAATCATATGATTAAATTTTCATTATAAATTTTCTCTTTTACCCTTCATTAAATGTTGAAGAGAGAAATATGCTATTGAAATTCGTATATTTAATAAGAATAAAGTTAAAAATTTATTAAGTTTTAAAACAAAATTAATAAATTTTAATATTTTCTGACACTGGTGAAACATGTTAAAAAATGATTTATAAATAGGATCAAAAAAGTATATATTTTACAAGAAAAATATTCAAACATTTAATAAGCTTCTCACCATTTAATAAAAAAATGAACATAAAAATTGTTGTGATCAAAACAAATAATCTCCCCGCTTTATAAATAGAACCAGCCAGCAGATGAGAAATATAAATTAGTTGTAAATATTACAATATATGAGCAAGTAGATATGCTACGCGTGAAATTTGGCCAAAAGAAAAAAAAAAAAAAGTATACTGCGGTTGAACGGTTGAATACAATAATGGTAGAGACAAGTGAGGAGAAGAATCAGGGGGTGTACGCATGCAATCTGGGGAACCGGAGGACGACCGGCTATGTCCGGTAATGAAGGGGGAGTCAGGGTGTGTTTGCAGATATTTGTGAGAATGAATTCGGGGGTTTTGTCGGTTTGCGTAAATTTTGTGGGTGTCACAATATTGGAGGAAGCGTTCTGAACTGCAAAATTGTTGAAGAAGAAGGGAGAGAGAATTTGTTGGGGGGGGGGGGATAGCGAAGACGCACGTGAGAAGCAGGGGACAGCAGGACGATGATTACTAAACAAGTAAACAGAAAAGCCTAAGCCTCCCTCAATTTATATTTTTAAAAATTATTAAATTTAACTTTTTACATTTTTTGTGAAAATAAATTTTTAAATTTAATTTAATAATTTAAATCTATTTTCCTTTACTCTTTCCTGTAGAGGAGAAAATTCAACTCTCATGTTGCGTCGCGCTGTGAGCTCCAGCCTTCAGCTTCGCATTCATGGTTCATCCCTCAAATGCCTTTCCTCTCATTCTCGCTTTTCCAGATTTTTCAGTAGTGGTGTTCAGTTTGAACCCGTTCCGATTGGCCTGATATCGTTCCGATCATATCGAGACGTATCTTGTCCCGACCCGAAAATAATCGGGACGGGACTTTACGAGACGGGACAGGAAAGAGATTTGGGACGGGACGGGACACGAGATTACCATCGGGACGTTCCGTCCCGTCCCGAATATTATATATATTATTTGTTATTTTAAATATATTAATTATATTAATATAATTTATACTTATATTAAATATATCAATTATACTTTTAATACTTGCAATTCTTATTTAAAATTAAAGTTTTTTTATATTAATAATTTTAATGGCATGGAGTAAACATGCGATATCTTTCTTTATAATATATTAATTATATTAATATAATTTATTCTTATATCTATCTATTTAATAACTTTTATTTATAACATATTTCTTGCTTATTTTTAGAAAAGTAATTAGCTTAATACATCTTCACTAAAGTAGAAGAACAATGATTTGATATTGTGTTTGACTTGCCTATTGTTGCTAATTTTATAACATAAAAATCACTTGTATTTGTTATTATAATATGTAGTTGTGATTAATATAATTCAATAATTAATTTTAAATTATTGTTATTTATGTACCTGTGTTGTTTTGATTTAAACTTAATAAATTATATGATTTAAAATTTTAATGAACGTTATTATCCAGATCTTTTTTCAACATTATTCCATTTATCGGGACGGCGGGACGTCCCGATCTTGTCCCAATCCCGTCCCGACTCTTAACGAGACGGGACGACTTTCGAGGCGGGACGGGATACGGGACCAAAATTTAATCCTAATTTTTTTTTTGGGACGGGACACAGGACAGGGGTGTCCCGATCCCGTCCCATGAACACCCTTATTTTTCAGTTTCCTTGCTTTCTCTGCCTTGCCTCTTCTTATTCTTCGCTCTCATTTTATCCTGTCTAATCAAACATTGCCTTCTCTTTCCAGCGAACAAGTTTTTATCCAAGCCCATTCCACATATGCACGAGTTTTTATTATAACGTAATCTCTCATTAAATACAAAATTTACCCGACGAAACTTATGCTACATTTTGGAACCCATTAGCATATACTCTGTCGATGCCCCATATAAAAAAAAAACATTAAAGTGATTAGTTTTTTAATTTTACTTTTTTAATTAAATATTATTTGAATTTCTAGACAACAATTTAGCATGATTTTTAATTAAAATAAAATTAAAAAGTTATCTATTTCTTAATAAATTTAAGGACATACTCCATCTGATTCCATTTATAAGGTACGTTCTAAAATATTTATTTAATTTTATTTATAAGTTATGATACGACTTTTTAAGTAATATTTAAAATTATTTTTAAAATTATCTTTTATGAGAGAAAAAAAACATGAAATTACTTTTTATATTTTTTATGATACGAATTTTTAAATAATATTCAAAAAATATTTTTAAAATTATTTTTTATGAGAGAGAAAAATAACATAAAGTTACTTTTTATATTTGTTATACAGAAATATATTTAAAATTTCACACACTTTTATTCTTTTTATTTTTTTACATTATTATTAATGATATTATTAAAAATGACTTATAAAAAAGATCGAAATAACCACTACTCCCTCCATTCAAAATTATTAAATATTTTTGGAAGAGATTTATCATTTTAAAATATAAGATATTTTGAGAAAATTAAGATTTCATTAAATAGGCTTGTTTTGATATTACATTTTTTTTCTATTTAATACTAATTAATGTGGATTTAAGATTATTAAATGAAAGATATTTTAAAATTTTATATTTTATTTTGAAAAAAATTTTAAGTATATTTAATAAAATTTATTAATATATTAAATTTTATTTAAAAATATTTTATAATTTAAAATAAAAAAAGTATTATTTTCTGACACGGACAAAATCGGTCAAGTTTGTCTTCCATTAAGAGCAGGAGGGAGCGTCTTTTTTCAACTTTTAAAATAAAGTTATTTTAATATTATTTTAGTTGAAAATATTAGGGTCGATTAATTTCCAAACACGCAATTTAATTTACCTCAATTTCTTAACGTGATTTTGCCTCAACCTCTGAAATTCTATTTACTTTTTAATTAAAAAATTTATATTTTATATACTTCATTTATTTTAAATTATAAGATATTTTTTTAAAAAAAATTAACATTTTAAAATATAAAATATTTTGACAAGAATAAAATTTTATTAATTGTATTTTTTAATACTACACTTTTTATATATTATCTCTCTTTAATATTATTTTATTAATAAAATATTAAATAAAAGTATATTTTTAAAATTTATAGTTTTATTTTAAAAAATAATATGGAAAGAGTATTATATATTTGACGGA